TGAGTGTGTATATTTGGAGAAGCGGGGGGGGGGGGGGGGGGGGGGCGGGTTTGTTAGAGCCCAGTGCAAATTCTGTATTTAAAATGGTTAAATGTGAGTAATTCACCACCAGCTGGCCCCAGTGCATCCAAGCTGTTGCTCCTCTTTACTGTGTGTGTGGATGGTTTGAGTGCCAGACTGGCCATGGGTTCCACCAAAAAATCATGGTTTTCTACCTAGCTGTTGTGAAACAACTTGGACTGAATGGGAGAAACTTGATGGGAGTTTATCTCCTCACAGTGAGGGGCCTCTTAAACTATGAGGGGTTGGAGGAGGGAGAGGTTAGGGAAAGGCTTCAGCGGCTGCTAGAAACTGGGAATTTTAAGCTAGAGGCCAATCATTCCTGTCCTTTGCTGCATTTCTGTTTAATTGTAGCTTGTTGGGTGACCTAAAATCAGCTTTTCCCCTGAATTAACAGTAAACGTAAACCTGCCTTGTCTCTAATTATCCTAGTACAGAAGTCATTTCAGTACATTCCTTATTTGCTGTTAGCAATGGCCAAGTATCAGTAACTCGCACGATGTTCCAGTACCAATACAGCCACATGCCTCTGGCCCTCTAAAACTCTCTCCCTCGTAAACTACCTTTCAAGGGTGGAAAGCCCGCTCAGTGCTGGTAACCATTAAAAGAAAGCAGGCTTACTGTCTAGGGCAGCCTGCAGGCGGGATCCAGCCTAAGAAGAGATGGGATCCAGGCCAGGACAGCAGGGGAATTGGTGGCATCCTCCAGCTGAAGCAGCAGAGAAGGCATTGCCAGCAGCTGTTGCCACCAAGGCAGCAGAGGCTAGTCCTGCTGCCTCTCTTGTGTATCGTCTTCACAACATCTGATGGTGTGTGTGGGGATTTACAACCTACAGTGTGAGGGCTGCATAGCAAGCAGCAGCTTGCAGCAGCAAAAGGTTGCCAGTTCCTGGTCTAGGATGTTTAGAAATGTTTAAATCAATGGTATTTAGATAATGTTGCATTATTTTAAAAAATGCTCACCAGTAGGCTGAATTCTTGATATTTGCACCTTCCTGCTAATCAGGATAAAGTATTCAAATAGAATAGAAGCAGTGTGCTGGAGACCCAGGAATTATGATGGGGTAACTTCAAGGAGATGTCTAATTTATGGGGTCAAGGAAGCTGCATTTCCCATTCCTGTCAAATTTGACTGTTGATCTGGGTGATGTAAAAATCGTGGGCCCATGTTTTGTCAGAGCAGTGGGGCTCTCACTGCTTGAACAAATCTGTCTTAACTCAGGTGCAATGCACAGACTTCAATATTTCTCTCCTCTTCCTGTCCATACACTGCTGTGGGGGGAAAAGGGAGGCAGCAAGGCTGAAATATTGTTGCACTTCAAAGATCAACTTGAAGTCTGAATTCGTGAGGCTGCCAATAGATAAAAATTGAGAGAATTAAAGGCTTCTTCTAGCCCAAATGGGGAATCCCAGGTTGGAGGTAATTAATAGTCTGTTACCTTAGGGTGGCACTTTACAAAGGTGCCCCGGGGATTTTTGACACCTAATTCCATTGACTTTTATATAAGATGATAAAGAATATGGACTCAGTGTTGGTCTCTGTTGTTTTTTTTATTCACCAACTTGTGCACGGTGACTGATACAGAATTAACCAACTTGTTTTTAAGCTAAGGAACAGGTTATACAGGAACTACAAGGCACTCTGGTTTTACAACAATGCTCGTGGCATGCCTGTTACAGAAGCTCCCTTCACTTTCTTTAGGAACAGCCTGCTTTAGGGAAGGTATTGAGGCACATATGGGAATAAAAATGAAACACGGCATGTTCTGTTCTGGCACAAAAATATGCTTTCCTGAGTACCATGGTGGGGGAGAGGGGGTTGGAAGACATCCCATTTTAGTAAAATTCTTAGACATTCCTTGGGGTTTTATTTGGAAAGTTCATTCATCTAGTTTCATTTTAAGCAAAATAATCATAGACAAAGTGGCTTATCTTGTGCATGAAATTCCAATGACAGCAATAGCCAAGAGCTCAGCCCATTACGTTGACATCTCACCTGGACCATCTTACTTAAACACCGAGCGGAGATCTTCATATTTCTCGTCGTAGGATCCTCTGCCTCTGATGTGCAGAGCGCAGGATTTCTCTCCCAGCAGTCCAACAATGGTTGCTGTGGTTTCGTATTTGATGCCACTCCTGAGAGAGAAGGAAACTGAGTTGCATTTATCTGCTTGTGAAGGAGGGACCTCTTGTAAATTAAAGTGACAGGAGAGTCAGGAGAAAGAAGAGACTAAGGAAGGGTTTTAGGGGTTTCCAAAAGCCAGGAATTTTAACCTAAAAAAATCATACAAGTACTTAATATGACACTGGAGGAATTAACTGAGAGATGGAAGCTTCAGTGCTCATAAATATCCATTTACAGGTGGCACTGGGGAAGCTGACCTACAGCAGGGGACAGGTCTGAGCTTTCTTCCTTTGGCAGTTATTTTCTTGTAGAAAGGGCAAGACTTCCAGGACGAAACATTTCTCCCATTTGTTCTGGTAGGCCAGGGGGAGCTGGATGCTGGCCTGAAGTGAACGGCACTGTTTTCAAGTATCCTTGCATTGGACTTGTGGTTTATGGCAATCCTCTGAAAGCCTTCACTTTCCTAGAAACAGGCCTGAGGCCCTGTGCTTTCCCTGCTGTCCCACTTCATTCTTTTGTCTCAAAATTCCCCAGCAGGAAGGAGCACCTTTGCACACAGCTAAACTGGCTACAATTTAACCAATTTAGTGAGTCCCATTAGGCATTCTGCTTCACCAGGGACTTTAAATGTGCTGAATCAAAGGAGGTGGCTACTAGGGACACCAGTTTTTCTTTCTGGCAGCCCAGAGTCACCATCAGTTTGCAAATGGGTGGATGTGCTTCCTGCATGCTTTTGCATGCAAGATCACTCAAGAAAAGTGAATAGTAAACCAGGACTTTCATTATCTCCCTCACCTGCATTTTAACTCTAGAAACTTGCCTGTTAACCCTGCTCAGTGCTGACTTTCTCACTGAACTCCCTGGAGCAGACTCCCTTGCTCTGTTCGGACTTCCTGCCTTTCTGCAGGCACGTGGATGCCTCTGTGCAATGAATCCTCATTTTAGTTAATATAATTTAGAAAGCCAATTGGTTTCTCTGTGGTCTTGTATTGCATAGGAAAGTATCACAGGTGTGTTTCTTTGCCCTCTTCCTGAGAACTTTCTTGAACTGGAAGTTATGTTTTCCCAGGAGAGTGTAACCTTGCTGATGAGTATGGGGAAAACTAAACACAGTTGGGGAACAGTCAGCTGCTGTTTACTGGTCAAATCAAAGGGTCCATCTTGCCCAGTCTCCTGTGTCACACGGGAAGAGAGTGGATGCTGACAGGGAGAGTGAACCAGGTAAGGCCAGGTCTGTTGTTGCCCCTCACCCCTTCCTCGCTCACTTGCAGCCTCCAGCATTTAAAGTCTAGGAAGTTCTGAATCAGAGGCTGTACCCCTAGCGCCCATGCTGCAAATCGACTGATGCCCCCGTGTCCAGTCCCCTTTCTGCATCTGGCTACACTGTCAGCTCCGACCCCATTTGGAGGCAGAGAGTTCTACATTTAAATGACACTGGAAAAGAACGTCCTTTTGTTAGTTTTAAATTTACTGCCTATTAGTCTCATTTTGTGACCCCTGGTTCTTGTATTGTGTGAGAGTAAGCAGTACATCCATTTACTTTTTCATCATCATTTAATAGTCTATAAACCCTTATATGTCCCCCCTCAAGCATCTCTTTCTAAATTGAATAGGTCCAGCCTCTTTAGTCTCTGCCTGTGAAACCCCTCCATACCACTGATCATCCTTGTCCCTCTCTAGACCTTCTCTAGTATCTTTTTTTGAGGTGTGGGGACCAGAACAGGGCACAGTATTCAAGGTGTGGATGCACCATGGATTTCAAGGGGCATAATGATACTTTACAGTTTGCTTACAATTCTCAGTCCCTAACATTTTGTTTGCCTTTTTGATGACTGCTGAGCACAGAGCTGATGCTTTCTGTGAACTGTCCGTGACACCCAGATCTCTCCTGCGTGATGGCAGCTAGCATAGAGCCCATTACAACATGGGTATAGTTGTGGTTATTTTTGCCCAGGTGCATCACTTCACACTTATCTACATTGAATTTCATCTGCCACGTAGTTGCCCATTTGCTCAATTGTGGTAGATCCTTCTGTAGTTCCCCACAGGCTTTACCAATGAGCAACTGTGTGCCACTGGCAAATTTGGCCACTTACCCGCTTTTCCAGATCCTTTATAAATATGTTAAACAGCACTGGTCCTGACACACGTCCCTGGGAGGCTGCTATTTACTTCTTTCCATCCTCAAAACTAACCATTTATACTTACTCCTTGCTTTCTGTCTGTAAGACAATTTCTAATCTGCAAGTGGACACAGCCTATAATCCCAGGATTAAGAGCCTCTGATGGGGGAACCTTGTCAAAGGCTTGTTAGAAGTCCAAATACACTACAATCAACCAGCTCACCCTGATCCACCTGCTTACTGACACTCAAAGAACTCGAATAGGTTGGTAAGGCCCCCGCTGCCTTCACACCACCTGTCCGCTACCACCTACCCCCTCACTGCCTCTCCCACCACCTGCCCCACTGCAGTGATGGTGGGGACAAATTTAAGGCAACCCTCCAACAATTAGATTGTATAGATGGACAATTATAACAAATTTGTAATTTTTCCTTGTATGGAATCCAATTATGGGGTGGGGTGGGGGCATACTTCACTGCCAGGTACCATACAACTTGCAGACATTAAAGGATTTAAGAAAACATTATCAGATTCTATTATTCCTCACCCTTCTATAATCCCATCTTTTATCATTGTTGTTGTGTATAAAACCTTTAGACATGAGGTAGCACATCACCATCAAATCAGTTGGTTTTGTGAAGTGCTGTATGCAGGTGTTACACAAAATCCCACAGCCATCTATTTTCATTACCAAGGGCTGCTTCTAGCTGCAGATGCAACACTGCTATGTGAAGGTTTACAGTTAGCATGACCTGTTACGCTAACAGTTATGGTTTCAAAAGCTCCAAGTGACTGTGAAGCACTAGGGTGGTGACATACATGCCTGATGAAGCACTACAAAAATAGCTGTTCCACTTCAAAAAATCCCCTTGGGAAAAGCAGGAACCACTTTGAAGTGCTGCATGTAATGTTTGCAACCTCTATTTGCTGCCTCTTCATCTGCAGGTGCTGTGTGCTCCTTTAGTAAGACTGAGGAATGTAGTTCAAGGAGGACCCAATATAAACCTTCAACTCAGGATTCGGACTGCTTACAAGGGAGTATTCAGCCCTCCGTGTCAGCTTGGGAAGGATTTTCTGGTTGAGTTTAGCAGCACTTCCCACTACGTGTTTTATATAGACAAGTCAATAAATGTGTTGCTGCACCCATTACAGCATAAACAGCAAGAGTTTAGTTTTTCTGGATAGTTGAGCAACAATGCTCGCGTGTGTAGCATAAACTATGAGAACAACCAGCAAGTGCTTGCAGTCTGTCCACCACAGCATGTGCAAACTTGAAAGAACTGCTTAAGCTTCGTGACAGCAGGACAGCGGTATTTTAACATGTCCCTACACTTAGGGACTTGCATTGTGACCACACACATTGGAGATGTCTGAATCCCATCAGTTTGTTAGTGCAGTAACTGCACAGACAGGCATGCCAAAATGTGTGCCTGTGTATACATGGGCCCTTAATCACTCACAACACAGCTCGGGGACTAACTATGTCGTCATTACTGATCACTTCTGAAGAAACCTCCTTTGTTGTAGGACTAGAAGAGCAAAGCTCCCCTTGTCAACAAGAATGTAACACAGAGACTGCTTTAAATGAAATGAACACCTTAGTAGCCTGGGCTTGAAGACATCCTTGCAGCAAACCTGTTCTCTTACTCTACCTTGCTGTAAAACAGATCTGTAAAGGTACTTTGGTGGGTAAGTCAGCTTCACGGGCCTCCAGACTTCCACTGGAGGGGGAGATGGAAAATACTTCCAGGTCAGTATGCTGTTCCTGTTGGTCTGCAACAAAGAATGAATATGCAGAGGCCTTCAGTGGAGAAGTATAGTGCAGAATTCACATGTCACGACTATGACTCCTGAGTCACCAGGGGAAAGTTGCCTGGTGTCCTGTCCAATGCAATGTTTCATTTGCATTTGGGCAGCCTAAATAGTCATCCCCTGTCAGGCAGGAATGGGGGCAGCTGTAAATGGTAAGGCTCAAACTTGCTCCTACTGGAGCAGATGGGAGTGGCTGCTGCTCTGCACCTCTTGACTCTGAGCCTTAAATTTGCAAATTGATCCAGTAGGTGTGATTCTAGTCTCTGCAGTCAATCTGGGGCGAGGGTTGAAATAAATGGAGTTAGTTACACTGGTACAAAAGCCGTCACAAGATCAGAACTAGACGTAGCCAGCTCGCTGACTGACTGCCAGGGGATCCTGACTTACTGACAATGTTACATGGCTAACTACATTGGAAGACAAAAAGCTAAAATGGAGTCAATGGCAAAGGCTTCGTACCCAGTAGAACAATCCAGTAACTTCTACACCTGCTCCGGTTCAACAAGAAGACATTTTCTATCTTGGGCTGACCAACAAAGCAGGTTGCAAAATCAACCATCTCACAGGAGAACTCCAGTACGGGAACAGTAAGAAATGCAGTTACTGGCAACAGCTGCTGGGTACAAGAGAGAGGAAATGAGCATTAAACTTGTAACATAGTCTGGAAAGAACCAGCATTATTCCACCCCTTACCTGTTGGCTTGGGCAGGCGAAGGGTATACCGTTTCTGTAGTGCTGTAATGATAGTTGCTATGGATGAGGTTAGTGGCCACAGAAGTGTTGTGTTGTGTTTGCAGGGGACTACAATACATTTCACGCTGCACTTCAGACTTACTTATACTAATGGTTTATTAAGACAGGGAAAGATAGTGTGTATCTGTTCAGATAGACAGATCTTCAGACTTGCCACTGAATGGACTCAGTGTAAGGGAATGTATAGCACCCCAGGGCTGTTTAGCTTCTAAGGGCTGTGTGGAGACAAAGGCCGCATACAGACGTTGTTTCTTCTGGGAGAGTTGCTGCTCTCTCAAACCATGAGTGTACAGGTGTTCAAGATTTTTCTCCCAGACTAAAAATGGCCACTCCAGGAGAAAAATAACCCGGGTAACAACTAGAGTTTAATCAGTCCCGGTAGAGTTTCTCCTGAGAGAGCAAATGTCTGTACATACTGACTGTCTCCTGGGGAGAAAGAGAAAGCTAGGGGACTATGTTCTCTCCTGAGAGCAGCTTTGGGTTTCTCTACTGTGAGAGCAAACCTAGGAAAATGCTCCCAGATTGTTTTAATGTACTGCGTAGCAAAGTCATTTTCACTCTAGCATCTCTGACCTCTTTAGGACTGTATCTGACACGTCATTAACTGTCTTCTTGTGTGTAGACTACCTAGGATGACTGCTTTTGTCCATAGCTTAGGTGTGTTGCTTAGAAACACTTTGGAGGAAAAAAACCCTGCATAATCCTGAAACTGTTTCCGTTCTAGATACATACTGCCTCACCACTCTATAGGCTCCAGTCTGATACTGCTCAGTTAAACTGTCTGAGGGTTGTGAACAAGATACATGGGCTCAAGCAGGCTTGCAAGACTTCAGAGGAACAGAGCTGGTAGACAGCCACTGGCACGCTCCCCAAGCTAGAAGTGACCACAGCTGCAGCCAGGTGTTAAGGGACACAGTGTGACTGGACAGGTCATCTCTTGAGATGTAAAACCCAGGCCCTCCTGCCATATAATCAGAGATTCTGCATCCCATCTTGGGAACAGCAGGGAATTAGCCCTAGCACGCTGGTCCAAATCAAGTCTGTTGGCCTGGGAGGTCCCTGCTGTTTCAGCTGAAAGCTGTGCCTCGCTTTCTTCTGCACTGTGCGACTGTCACGGTTGGCACACGTCACCCCAGGAACAAGTGCATTTCAGCATGGGCAAATCACGGCTTGAAAAATGACTGAAGATCCAGAATGGATGCAAGAGCCCTTATGTGGAGCTGCCTTTTGTTTCTCTTATCTTCTTACCTGGGTTGTTCTGTTCTTGTACTCAATAACTAGATGTTGACTAAATTCCAGCTTCCTGTCTCCGTTCTCCAGCTCCAGCTTTCGGATTCCAGGAAGCAGCTGCTCAGCTGGCAGACTCTGATATGTAAGTAACTCCAGCGTTGTGTGGAATGACACTTTCACCTGGGGGAAGGGGTTCAGACAAACACCGTGTGTGAAAAACCTTGGTAGGAAATGCAAAGTAAAAACTGCTCAGACAGCCCATCTGACCCCCACCATAGCACCAAGCTGGGACCCAAATTCCCAGTGGAACCTGTGCAGCGAAGCAAAGGTAAAAATAACCTTGATGTTTCCATGGAAGTTAAAGGGCCAGTGCACAGAAAACAAAGGGGCAAAGATGAACTGCAAACTTAAAATATGGTGAGATGAAACCCAACAAGTTTAGGAGCTTAAATTCCCCAGAATGTGACTCTGATTCTCCACCTACTACCCTCCTTTTACCCTCTTGCCTTCCACAGGGTTATTCTTTGCTTTCAGTCCACTGAATCAAGCCCCCTGTGCCTGTCTAAGAGTAGGGGCCTTGTTACACTGTACACTGCGAGCTGCACTAACTTTGATGGGTGTTAGCACTAGTTCGAGTTTGGAGCAGTCACACTCCAGGCCAGCGTGTGCCTGGCACACTGAAAGGTAAGAATCTGCCCTCTTGCTCCCGAGGCCTCTGCTGCTCCCCCTGCCCTGTCCCAGGGGCATTACTTGTCACTGCCTACACTCTGTCCCAGGGGAGTAGACAGAAAAGAGCTAACTTGCCTGCCCAGCTGCCACTGCTGGGCTGCTGCTCTTCTCGGCCAGAAAGCAGCAGCAGCTGTAGCAGCAGCAATGGCAGCCGGACAGGTAAATTAGCCCTTCCCTGCCTGCTCCTCTGGGACTGACAGTGCAGGCAGCCACAAGTAAGGGGAGCAGGGGGAGGTGCACAGGGCATGATCTAGGCCCGAAGGGGAGGAGGGTGGTGGGGTGTTTACACTAGGGTATAGCCTAGAGTGGCTACACCTTGGAGTGTAACACAAGCTGGGTAACGTGGATTAAAGATAATCCTTCCCTGGAACGGCGTCACTCTGAGCTGGCTAATGAATGCTTAAAACTAGTTTCAGGTGTTAATCTGTGCTTCTTAACAATCCAGGAGAAAAACAATCCATGAGAATCTGTGTTTCTTAACAACCCACATGTTAGCTGCCCGAAATTATCATGTAACAAGCCCCTAGATTTTGGATTGATAAATACATGTTCAAAAGGGTACCTGCACTTCAGCTTCCACTCCTCCAAAAAAATTCCTACCCAGGCATATGCATCGAAGGTCTGGGCAGCCCTCAAGCATGCACCATGATCCAGGAGGATCAATGGTTTCCACATGCACTTCATTTCATTCCTGAATGGGGGACTGTGTTTCCTGTGCCGGCAGCAGGCATACCTCAAACCATCATTTCTGGCTACCCAGGCCATGCCTTATGCAGTGGATTGAGACAGGGGAAATGGGAGTTGGATCTTCTCTTTTAAACTGTAAATCCAATAACAATTTGTCTCTTCACCTGTTTGGGAGCTGCTTTAGGGCACGATCTTGGACATGTTTAGTGTTCCTTGCAAAGTGACTTCTTTGGGAGAGCCTAAGAGAAGTAGAGCAGGGCATTGCTACAGGTTGTGCTTAAAGCAGAGTAGGTGCCATCCTGGAATTAATATTTGCCAGTAGTTACAACATCAAGATCCCATCTCTTTGCTGACTGTTTCCTCTGCCTCCCCACCCAAAGTTGTCTGTTCCAGCCTGGTGGTTGTTCTGAACCTACCAGCATGTTTTGCTGTGGATGAAGGAGAAGCTCCTGCTCTTGTTCTTCCCTGTCACTGTGGGCTGTTTTCAGGCTCTTGTCGCCAGCTACACTGAAGGGCATAGACAGAAGGAGCCTGAAGTGCAGAGGAGCCCCTGTGGAATTGGTGAGCTTCAGGTTGTGGCTAGTGATGGACGCTGTCAGCACCTGAGAGAGAAAGTATTGGAAAGCTTTTCAGCCTGGTTCGCTTGTGAGGTTTGCAGTGTTCTAGTATCAGGTTTCTTTGTAGCATCAGAGACTGGGAAACGCCTGTCTCAAACCAGTTCATTTTCTCTTTCATTTGAATTAACTAAAAAAAATATAAAAATAATGCGATAAAGCCCAGACAAAAATGCTAGGGCACAGTGAACTGCTTCACTCACAGACTGCGCTGGGCACTCCAGACCTTTGATAATCTGCAAATTAATTGTTTTGCTTCTCATAAGATCTTTGCTGCAACTACTGAATCACAGACTAGTTTTGTCCTAAGTATCATCTTTCCTTGGCTCCTAGATAATTATCCTGGAGTTTCCTCTGGCCTACCTTGTACTCTACAAATAATAAAGTTTTTATTGCATTCAAAATCTAGTACTGCAACACCGGCGTAGGGGCAATAAATATGTACTTCACAGACAATGTGTGGGCTGTCATGAGTTACCTTCAGAGCTGAGCAGTAATTGGAAACAGCTGAACACTGTGATGTGTAAGTTCTCACCTTGGAAAGAGGCTGATCTTGTATGAGATCACTTGCTACAGAATGAAACACCAATCCTTCATCACAATCCATCTCCACTTTTAACCTGAATGTAGGGAATCAGAGCCTGTTAGAACTCATTGCTCTTTCACCGATTTCATTTTGCTGTTTACTGGCAGTCGGGGATGTCGGGACTGTTGTACTTACAGGGCGGGTTTTACAAGCGCTTGCAGGTCTATTCTCAAAGGGGCAACTTCACGGCCATGTGACCGAGACACCTTGCCAGGTATCATCTGTGCAAGCTGACAGCAAAGGGAAGAACATATGCTGATCAGACCAGAGGACCAGCCACAAGCACTACATTTTGATAGGCTGTTACGCCCTCAATGAATTGTACCTGGCAATACTTGGTGATCTGTAGGACTTTATACTTTATGCTCACTGTCTAGCTTTATGTCAGAAGCTCTGCTGGGAACAGCCATGCCTAAGCCATATTTGCATTTTGTATGGAAACAAAAATGGTGTTTATTAAACAATGCAGAAGCTTCTCATTAATATTAGGGCAAATCCTGTTGCCTACAGTCATAGAAAACATCATGGATAAATATTTGACTGTAGTTAATTAGCACCATGTGCGCTTCTGTACTGCTTACAGCTGAGAAACTCTGTTTTACAGATGCTGCTTCAGCTGTCTTTGTCATTCTAGAAAAAGTCTTGCAGCAGACAGGTGCTTTGACCAAATGTATAAGGTAGGCAAGCCGCAGGGTGAGGAACAGACCGTGGGAGGCCTGAGTCACACTCATTATCATGAAAAAACTACCTTGTAATATCACCTTGAAGTCTGGACCAGGCACAGGACTCCAGCTTGTCAGGCACTGTACAAACACAGAGCAAGTAACAACCCCTACCCAAAGGGCTTCCAGCCAAAAAGACTAGATGAAACAGATGGGTGAGGGTGAAGGAGAGGGAGTGGAAGTAAGAAAGCCAGGATATTTACAGTAGCTGCACACAGTTATTAACCAAGCAAGAGCCCAAATCACAACTCAACATCTGCCTCTCTGGATGTGAGTACTAAGTGACATTTGCAGTGTTACACACTAGTTGTATTCAGAGCAGAGAGGGAGCTTAAACAGCAGTATTTTTTTCTTATCTACAAACGTAGCCCTGGTGAGAACATTACCTTCTGATCCAGACTCATGAAGCCCAGCGCATACCCCTGGCACTCCATTTTGTTAATGATCTGTGGCAGGATGAGTGGGATGAAGGCAACATGGATGGAGGTGCTGCCACCTCCTGGGATCACCTGGAAGCAGAGCAATAGAAAGACATTGTTCAGCACAAGCACACGACCTATTTGGCATTGTGGAAATGCTGTCGGGGCTATGCACCTTGGAGTAACATGAAGCCTTGCACTTCAAGCACAGAGAAAGAGCTCTACAGGCTGGCCCATGGCCAGATCTGCACCAAAACGACAGTGTCTCATTAAACCATTGTGAGAATTTCAGTGCAGGTCAATTTGCATGGGCAATCCCAATGGTAGCATTTGAGAGTGATTTCTAAATCACATACTAACCCCAAGGCCCCTGGCACACATTATACTTCAGAGTTAAGCTGCTCAAAGAAACCAATATAGTTAAGTCAGAACACGTCTGTACAACGCCCAGCTCTTAGCTATCTGTGGTTGTCACCCTGCATCTTCCTAAACTAACAGCTCTTAGTCTTTGGGCACAGAATTAATTTTTGGAGACTGTACTAGTCCGACTTAAAAACATTTTAAAGTATAACCCATATTTGCAGTCACATCTGTGCCTATTTACAAACAGTGTTCACAATCAACTGTATATGCCAACTTGGACAACTGTAAATTCTTAAGAGATTCAAGTTTCCACAGTCTGAGATTCAAGCTTTTTTTTTTAAAGAATCCTTTAAAAATTCTCTTTAGATAAGTCCAACCTTTATTGGATCCTTTGAGCAAAGAAAATCCCTACAATTGGAAGCTGAAAATTGACACATCATTAAACTATTGCAAGGTTCATGATATGTGTTTATTTTAATACACATTAATATTCATTTTTTTTCTTACTGAGCCTAATTAATACTCCTAAAGATTTTTATTTCCAGTGCACAGTTTCCATGTCATTTTTCTGTCACACTTGCAAATATATTTTTATTCGAGACACTGTGGCCCATATCAGATCAGTTAGTTTTGAGGCACTATGGATTTTCCAGTGTTTATATAGGATGAATTGCCTATATAAATGCCTATCAGTGGCCTCTGAGAAAGCAGCTTTTGTCCAAAGGGCTGCCATATAGCTCAGCCAACGACACAGGACAGATCTTCACTAAGCTAAGAACCTGCTTCCAGCACTTGGGGGCCTGGATAACCTACAGGTAATGCCACTTTCCTCCGTCTTGCTTAGGGTAGTGGGAGAAGAGCTCTCCTCTTTTTCTTAAAAGCTTGACGTTTCCTTTCCAACTGCTTTGCTCTTGTTTAGGTATCCAGGTTGTAGCGTATTGGTTTAGAGGAGAAAGGAATCAGGACGCATAGTAGAAATGATATCTTTTATTAGACCAATAAGATTTTTGCAAAAAAAAAAATTCTTTAATTGCAAAAGCTTGCAATTAAAGAATTTTTTTTTGGAAAAATCTTGTTGGTCTAATAAAATATATAATCTCTACTACGAGTCCCGATTCCTTTTTGCTCTTGTTTAGCGCTCTCTGCACCACTTCAAAGTCTTCTCCTGCCCCCTAGAGGTGTCTGTTTGCAAGCACTAAGCAGACATGAAAGCCCGGCTTACAATTTGTCTAGGAGTTACGCAGAATGGGTGGTCTGAGGGAACCCCTTCATGAGCTTGAATGATCACAGAGATGATTTTCTTTGGAGCAGTTGCTTGATTCCAGCCTTCAGAATCACTCCCTCCTCCATCTTCTACATAGGACGCCTATAGGTACAAAAAGGGTCAGACACAGACGTGTTACAGACTGAGTAGGGCTGTGAGAGCTGTACCACGAACTATTTATTCATTACCAGCAAAAGCAGCTAGTATGGTTTGGCCCTACTTTTCTGTATAAACTTTGTTCATTGACTCCTGGGGGTGAACTCCTGGACAAATAAGCTATTTGGTCCATAGGTAGAGGGTTCTCTCTCTGACCATATAAAGCGGCGATCTGGCCCTACAGCTTTCTACATTCATGTTTTAAGCACTGCTTTACCTCCTGGGTGACAAGAAAAAGAATGTAACTGTGATACCTTTGCTTTAACGCTTTCAGTTTGTTGGTAAGTTGTAGCTCGAGCCTTTCAAAGAACTAAACTGTAAAAAGACGACACTATCTATAAAATATGCTAACGCTATAATAGCAGTTCCAGGATTACAGTAAAGGGCAGGAACAGCAAACACCGCTGTCTGGACAGTCCATAAATTTCACTACCACGGTACGTTCTAGGTCCAATTCTGTTCTCCAACAGCATAACTGGGCAGAAGTTGGCCTTACAAATCCCTCATGAAGACAGCCAGTCTAAAGAATACTGAGGTTTCCCCCCTCAATATTGCTGAGGTTTTAAGAATTTGCATTTAAAAAATGTGTCAGTTTTTTACTGAAAAAAATCAAGTATTCCAGCCAGCACCACTCCTAACTTTAAGCCGAAAAGCTACTATCTGTTCAGGCTTCCAGAAACTATGATCCAGTTTTCTTTGACTTATACAGCTTTGTGACCTCTCTGTTAGATATATTCAAGGGTGACAGGCTGGAGTCTGTCTTAAATGGCTGACAACAGTTACTTCATCCAGCAGAGAATACAAACACAAATAGCAATATTCAGATTAGTTTGCATGGGAAACTAAAATCTCTGATAAGGAACTTGCTTCGAGAGTAGATAAACATGACAGTACAATGTACTAAGTTTTTATTTCTACTGTAGGTTTTGTCACCAAGAACCCATTCCTCTATGTTGGCAGTAACAAAGAAAATAGTCCGGCAGCAACTTACGCCTGTAGGCTGGGAAGTTGGAGAAATGGTGTCTGTGGTGTCATGGACTGTATTGTAGTTAAATACACCCTCGGTCTCTGAGGTGCTAATACTTGACTCCACTTCGTTCCCATCTATGTCCTTCAGAGGAAAAGGAGCGCCATAAAACACCAACAGGTCCACTAGCTTCTCCGAATCTGGTTCTTGATTGTAAGTTTCCCAGTCCATGCGAATGTCTGAGTTAACCAGGAGAAAGGACTATTAACTCCAGCTATGCAAAAGATTTGGAGCTTTGTTATCCCTTGAGAAAAAAATGAAAAAAGGAGATAACAGGCTACCTATTGGCAGTCTATATCAGAGCAGTCTAAAGCTACTCTTACTCTGGAGACAAGCCAAGTGACACACCAAGGCACCCGGAAGCAGAGATGACTTTAAGCCATCTTTGCTTTACAGACTTTTACAAGCACAGCGTAGCCACCCTGATTCTCCCCAACTATTTTTTTTTTAGTATATGAAGTGTTAATCTCGAGTGTTTTATTAAAGTAAATGCAGTATGTTCAGTGGCCTTGACGACACAAGTTATCTGACCCCTGTCCTGAACAAATTACACCTTGAAGAGTGAGACAAAGTTTGGATGCAAGTACACAGCTAGATGGTGCCAATTTACAATGTTTTTTTTTCCTTTCTAATAGTGGGATGATGGTAGCATTTTGTTGACATGGGTTAAGGCTCTGAGAGTTTCACAACGTATTTCAAAGATGGTCCAAAGATCCTAATCCCGCCAGTCTGCATTCTGAGGAAGGCCAGCATGGATAGGAAAGGGCTCCAGACCTAACTGGGTGAATAGCCACCTCAAGGTGGATACCTGGAATAAGCAGAAAGCCTACAAAAAAGGGACAAAAGGGCACAGGTTGATCTGTCTTGGAGGTCAAAAAGCATAAAATGAGAATTGCCAAAAGTTAAGCTGTGTTAAACCTTGCAAAGCAAACCAACATCCAACAGTTACTGGCCATACAACTAAGAGAACAATGATGTTGACCCATGGAGCAAAGTCAGGATGGATAATACAAATAAGGGCATGCCACATTTGAGATGAAAGCAACACTTGAGCAGCTTAATGCACTCAGGTCACAGGGGTACCAGACAGTCTCGGACTTCTGGAAAAACTGAAACATAAAAATGCAGGTGTGACAGCAAGGCTTTTAATGCATCTATTAAGTTGAGGTTGGTACCATATGGCGAGAGAACAGCAAACATAGTATCCGTATTTAAGAAGGGGAATGAAGGCAGTGATCTAAGCAACTATAACCCTGTTATTTCATCCTCAATGGCACGCAAGGCTTTTTAGAACAGGGTCTGAGGGAAAGAATTAGCAAAGCCATGGAGGTATACATGGGATATGGGATAAAATACAACAGGTTTACTAAAGGTAGATTGGAAAAATTAATCTGGCAGCTTGTTCTGACAAGGTAACAGACTATTTTTTGGCCATGGGAAATGCAGCAAGAAGAGCTATATAAGCTCAAAAGCAATGCTGGCACAAAGACAAATGGATATAAACTGGTTGGAAACTAGAAGAAACTTTTCTTCTATCAGATGACAGGGGTCCTGGAACAGCTTTCTAATCAGCGCAGTAAGATCAAAAGCCGAACTCCTTTTCAGATGGATCTCTGTCAGTTTGAGAGAGAAGAGGCGGTAGCTGTGTTAGTCCGGTGTCAGGCAGAAGTTAAGGCAGGGTGCAACCTCAGAGACTATCTGGTTCAGAGAACCAACTTGAGAAAACTTGTCAGGTTGTGAAGAGGGACTGTGCCACACGGTGCTTGGGATAGAACAGGACTGGCTTGAGGTCCCAGGCATCCCTTGCAGTCGTGTGTTCCTATGAAGAGACCATAAAATAGCAAGACCCCTGGTGCATTGGGACAGGATGTTTAGCTGCTTCCCACTAAAGAACAGGATGTGCCATATGTAGCAGACTAATGCATATGGAGGTTTCAGAGACGAATGAATATTCCCACACAACTAGAGGCCTGGCAATGTTGGCCACTGCTCTGCATTGGGTAAAATACAAAATAGCTGAGATTTTCTCCTGCTGTTCCTTTGCTGCCTTCAAAACAACCCCCTCCCCCTAAAGTTAATCATATCATCAGTTAGTGGTTGTGCTTTAATCACTGTAGGGACTGAAGGGCTAGCATGTTTGTCTGTACCATGACATTCACCTTACCAAAGGGCGTAGGATTATTAAGCCTGATGCAACGGGAGACCGTGTCCCCTCCGGAGATGTGAGTGCCGAACCTGGAAAACAGGAATAAGTCACCTTTCTTTTTACATGTGCAGCAAACATTCAGTCCTGAGAGGCTTTTTTTGTTAATGACTTGAAATGTACCATCTTACATTTACTAGCTGGCATCTTTTTATACTGACAATCAGGTAATCTGAGGCCAGTATCGGAAATACCAAGTTCCCTTGTACACCTGAATTGTCTTCCATTGTCTGCTTTCTCCGTGTTTTGATAATGGTCTCAGATTCTTCTTTGTGTGCACAAACCCGTAGCTCATGACAGCAGGTGGCCACAGAAATTAATGGCAGCATTTCGTGGAAATATCACCAGCTGCCTGGGGGGAACAGGGACAGTCTCCCCCATTGGCGCTACCGTGCCAGGGATCTAGCTTGGCACTAAAATCAGTGAAGTCTGGAGCAAGTAGAATTTAATCAACATTAAACACTGGAAAACCAGTCTACAATGCCTGGTGGCACAGTTCAAATGAAGGGCTAAGGACAGTCTGTATGTGGAAGCAGGGCATTTTTGCTATGCTAGAACAAATATAACCCTGTGGTCTAGTTTTTTTGTTGCAAAGCAGAGTACAGCATGTGCTGTACTTCAGCAAACATCAGTGAGCTTTCCCAGCCTTCTCACTGTACCGTGACTGATAACAATTGATGCTGCACACACTGGCACACTTCTCTAACCGTGTGTAGGGGCAATACCTTATTATTGGCATTTTAGCTTGAGGTCCTGTCATCTGCAAGAAGATTGGGCAGCCTTTCACGGTCATTTGCATAGGAATTAACGTAGGCTTCAGATCTCCCACCTAAAAAAGTGCATTTTGCAATTAGAAACAAGTGTTACCTTAGCAAGTGGATTACAGAATAGGAACAAAGGGCTGGCTCTGGGTCACTGACTCCAGCTCCCCACAACTGCAGGTGACCATGTCATAGATATTAGGTCCACCAGGATCCACAAGAACATTTCAGTCCTTCAGGCAGACCATAACACGCTCTCCAGCACTTCATAGCAAATTTAAGACTTTTAGCATACAAGATCAAGAACCTCAAATACTACACTGCACCACAGGGAGAGAACAAGGATGCTGCCAGTGCGTTAGGCCCATGCTATTACAGAGAGTTTGTCTGAAGAAATATACCCAGATGAACCTGGAAAGGAAACCAGGTCCCACATTAGAGAGGAAATCAAATGACTAGCCAGGTAGCCAGAGAGGTATCTCTGTACAACTAGAGCAACTGGCATACTATATCAGCTGTCCAATCTCTAGCTGAGGCCAAAATCTGATGCTTCAGAGGAAGGGAGGGAGGGAAAAAAATCCTTCCTGGCTTCCAGGTGACCAGAAAATGCCCTGAAGTCTGAAATTAATAGTGACAGGTTGCAATCCATATGGACTATGCTGGGAATTCAAGGCAGAAGGGATGGACAGAGTAAGGAATCTGATCCAGTGTCATTACAACCGCTCAACACACTCTCCTCACTTGGGCTGTAAAATGTAGGGTGTAAAAATGCAGCATGTTTTCAAAAAGACAAATTCCTTGCAAGGACCCTGAGCGATGACAACTTGACAACAACCGTGGCAACAGCTGTTCCAATGCTCAATGTTCCCCTACTGCCACAAAACTACATCTCACCTAGAGACAAACTGCTCTAACTTTGGTCTCTGCTGCTGGATCCTACCGTACTTCTCAGCACGGTCAAGAAGTCCCAGCTCTGCAGACACCACCCTGACATGTGTGCACCCCCACAGACGGCAGCGGTATCTCCTTTTAACTTCATGGGGACACTGAACAAATCAAACAGCTGAAAACTTATATCACAATTCCCAGCTCCATGATCTCGCCAGTGTTAGCCACCTGTGTCTGTTTGGAAAAGCACTGTGTCCATTCCTCTGGTGATCGGATTAGAAAATCTTTTAATTTCATGTCATGGTCAGTTGCATGCACTTGATCTCGTACCAATATTATCTTCTTACTTAAACAGTTTTTCTCCCCCCCTAGTATTTACTCCTTGGCATATTTATAAAGGTTATCACATCTCCTCTGTTGCTTTTATTCGGCCAGGATAAACCAGCTGAGCTCTTTTAATAACCTCTCATAAGACAGGTTCTCCATTCCTTTAATCTTTCTAATAGTTTTTCTCTGCACTTGTTCCAGTTTATATTAATCTATTTTGACTACAGGTGACTAGAACCATACATAGCATTCTTTCCAATGCCATTCACAATAGTACTGATACTTCAATGTCTGTAATGAAAATACAGCATTTGACACATCCAAGAATTGAGCTGTATTGCAGTGGTGGATTTTGGTCATCCCATAATTCTGATCCGTCTCTTTTCTCACCTCCTTTAACTAATGAGCTTCCAGCTGACAGAGTCCATAAGAACATGACTTTTTAAATTTCATTCCAATTTTACTGGAATGAAATTTAAGAAGTCATGTTGTTCAGTTTTACTGTCATGTTCTTCCGTATTACTTCAGTTCAAGACATTATCATATTCTTCCTATATCATAATCCTCATCAGCAACAACTTCCAGTTTTGTGTCATCTGACGGTTTCCCTGGCACACACCATCTAGGAAAAACTACTCTGGATCTCCACTAACTACCTGATAAGTTGACAAAAAGGAATTCAGGTGCCAAACCTACCCTGTAAATGTGCTGATCAGAACTGCAAACCCCACCTACCACACAGATGAGATCATCGTGGTACTCTCCCCACATGTTGTTGTAGGCTGTTATTTCAATAATTAGTCTCTGGAAGGCTTTCATTGTTCCTGTGGACGGCTGAGCATGGAAAGCCGCTCCTCTCCCATGAGACAGCAATGCTGCTACTAATGCTGAAAGAGCACAGAAAGCAGTAGTTTGTAAGATTTTGAGGAAACAGAATAAACTTTGTCCTTCAAAGAAAATACAAGGCCAGATGCTGCTGTCTGGCATAACTCCATTCACTTCAAAGGAGCAATGCCCATTTACACTGAGGCTCTAACCCATACAGTCAAACTGCACACACTTCCAAGCTGTTGTCATGTTATGTCGCATTTGTTAAGAAAAATCATTTCGGGGCAACCTGCCTCCCAGTTTCTTGATCCTGCATTTTCCCAGGCACTAATGTGTAATGTAGTGCTTGAAAATGTAAATTATTAAAATAAAAATAAACTCACTGCAATGGGATGCATGGGCATTTTTACATGTGTTTTGGGATGTGGACTACATGGAACTGCATCACAGGGTGCTATCTGAGACCTGCTGGTGCTAAATTATATATTAATTTGCCATGGGACAGAAAGCAGAACCTTACTTCAGGAGAAGTCTCACTAGCTGTGTGTGAACAAAAGTGCTCTTCTAGGTGAATACGGGGGTCAGAGTCTGGTCCTGTGTATTGATACAGCACTTTGCACAAGGGAGACCTGATCCTTCCCAACTGGGTTACTGGGAGATACTGCAATCTAAACAAGGTGCAATGCAGCAAAGGCAGCTCTCACTGTCAGTACATCCAACCCTACTCAAAGCAAAGTGACTGCCTGAGATCGAAGTTAGGCCACAGTCCGCCCTAATCTTTTGAATTCTAGACCTGATCTAAATGACTGGCTTGGCAGCTCTGGAGCTTGATGTCCTTTATGAGCAAAACAGCACCCCACAGACAAGCCCTTGTGCTGCCTGTCCCAGGCTGTTCACCAGCGTCTTGGTCCCATCCTGGGACCAAGTGCAAAGGATGAAAGGTGTCACTCCTGGCACATTCAGCCCTTTTCCCTTGCATGAGACTGCTGAATGTGCCAGTTGTGATGCCATCACCACATTTCATCCTTGGAGTTTGCCATCTAGGACTGGACTGAGCCAGAGAGCAGAAACAGCTTTTCCATACCTGATTGTGCTCTCTTGGCCACATGCCTTGTAATCTGGGCTGTCCTCTTCACCAGGCATGTGGTGGACCTTGAGAAAGGAAAAAAGTCTCCATGATAATCCTGCACCGCTAACATTACAGCTAGGTCTACCAGACTGCCAGTTGTTACAGCTCCAAGACAGACTTCCTGGCAACACCTGCAAGATGGCTTTTAAAGGTAACATCTTTAAAAATAAAATAATTTAAACCCAAAGTCCCATGTTCTGTGCGCCAGACCCTAAGCTGGCACAGAGCAGCATAGCTCCAAAGTCTATCACGCTTTGTTATTTCACCCACTTAAACCTGGCTGCATATGTTTCCTGCAGACCTCAGGCAGACAGTACATCGGTTTTCAAGAGAAACATCAGGAAACGTGTTTCAGAAACACAAGGACATTGCAAGATGCAGTGCTGGTGATTCAAGAGCAAGCACTCTTCTCCCTGAGCTGGCACAGGATTTAAAAATGGATGGACGATTATGCTCTAACACCAGTATACCTCCACTGACTTTAACAGAATTGCTCCAGATTTGCATCAGTGTCAATGAGAGGGATAAAACTAGATTTAGCCTTTGATTCATTAGCAAGAAAGGCTACACTCACAGGCTGCTTCCTTGTTCCTCTGGCTTAGGCAGACAGCTTTGGAAATAATCAGCCTCCACAATGAAAGGAGCTTCAATCCCAGTATGATTGGTAATCATTAGCTGACGCTTCACTATGCCTTGGAATGGAACTTCAGATCCAAAGTCCAGCAGAAGATCTTGAGACCTCTGTAGCATTTGTTTCTCATCACTGTAGATAGAAATGACGTGAATATTAAATCAGAACTCTCATTTATTCACATCTTGCAACCTCTTCGCTGTCAACTGTGCATCTTAGTGCCCGCACCATCCCAGCCTCCTGTTAATTCATGAAAGTGTATATCACCTTGCAGAAGGCAGGGTACATGTGCACCTTCTAGACTAACTAAATTATCCCTACCTACCTACCTACCTAATTTAGTTGGTCTAGAAAGTGCAAATCTACCCTGTCTTCTGCAAGGCTAATTCTCCCACTCAGCAGAGGAAGCACCACAGCACGTAGTAGGCCTTCAGTACAAGGACTGAGAGAGAGAACAGGCAGGGAGAAATATTTATGAGCTCCACTGAGTGATAATCATTCCCAAAGAGCTAGGCTGTCCCTGTGAGTGGTTTAGCCTAGAGGGGGAGGAAGCACAAGTGGAGTCCTTCCTCCCAATACTTTACTTGCTTAATGAAGATCCTGGGCTTGGGCTTGATTCAACTGCAACTCCTGCCCTCTGGATTCTTCCTACTCCTAATGGGGAGGGAAACAGGCCTCTTCGCAAGCACGGTGCAAGTGGGGGAAATAATACGAACCCTTTCAAGGTCTATGTGCCCCTGAACCCTCTCTTAGTCTGGGGAGAAGTAAATTTGACTTTTCCAGGGCAGCTATTGCAGGAACAGAAACCTCAAGAGAAAAGCTTGCCTGGAAGTTTCATTTCCTAGATGCTGGTGCAAACTCAGGCTACACAATGCATCCTTGTTCAGTTAATCTGGATGCCCTGGCCACAGGAAGTGTGCTG